CGAAAAATCGAGATCGTTTCAGGATTTTTACATACATACATACACACACACACACACGCGCGCGCGCGCGCGCGTATATACATGATATGACAATGGCGATCCAACACCGATATGATTTTAGGTTAGGATCAACTCGAGGATGCTGCATCACAAAAGCAGAGAAAAAGAAACGAAAAAAAAAAATAAATAAATAAGAATAGAGGTAGAGAAACAGGAGAGAAAATGAAGAAAAGAAAAGAAAAAGGAAGAGAAATAGAAAAACAAAAGGGAAAGAGCGATTGGCTCGTTAGGCCATAATTACAAGCGTAAGATTTTTTATTGCTAATATTTTCCCTCAGGTCGAGACTTGAACGGTGCCTAAAAGCTTTGATTAAGGAGAGAACGAGAAATAAACAAAAGGAAAGAAAGAGCAAGCCCTGAATTGCGTGTCGACGAGCTTTTTTTTGAACACACACACATACACACATACACACACAACAGCAGACAGAAAAACAGGGAGACAAGGATTCTGTTTGTCGAATTCTCACAGTATGTTGTTTCGCGTTATCCTCGGTAGGAAAGTCTAACAATAAGAGAAAGAAATAGGGGGAGAGAGAGAGAGAGAGAGAGAGCAAGATCGATCGCACGATCCGAAGAGAGGAGAAAATCGAGTTAAAGAGAAAAGATGGGAGAAAGCAGGAAATTAATAATAATAGTAATAATCGGCAAATATAGATGGATAATTAATATTCATCGAAGGAGGGAACGAAAGATTCTGATACGACGCGATAAAGAATAAGATTCATTTGCGTATACATACGATCGATGCGTTGAGAAAGTACCGCGTGACACATGTGACACACACACGCATAACAAATGTACGCACGCGTGTATATATGTACGTGTATGAATGTGAATCTGCATATTTGAAAAATGTGCGTGCGTGTGCGAGGAGTGTAACAAGAGGATTATCATAGTGTTCCGTTTAAGGAAAGCACGCGGGCCGCGGCGAAAATCGTGCCTAACCTAACCTAACTTTTCTGCGAAAAAGTAGGCCGACGTCTCCGCGCTCCAGCGAATTTCGGTCCGGCTCGGAAACTGGTTTTCAGGGAAATGAACTCTCTCGGTGCAGCGAAATCGTTTGATACTTTTCTTTGGAAAATGAAAGTACGGAAAAAAAAAATCGAAAAATCCCACTCGTCTCAATTGAGTGTACCTTATAACGCGATATTTCTGCAAATAACATGGCTTCCTATTGCTATTTCGATACTTTGCTCGTTGCAATCGCTTTTCTCTGCCTTTCTGCCTGTACGAATTTCAAATTGAAACAGAACAAGAATTGGCCTGTCGAGTAACGTGTACGAGGAAAGAAATTTGAAAATCTATATCGCAATTAAATAAATGAGCAACAAATCGAATTGAATTTGACATTTTGTTAATCCTCTATAGGCCAAATATTTTTCTTGTCTATAAAAAGATCAACAAATGTCAACCTACAAATACAGATGAACAATGAATTCAGCAGTTTCGAAAATTTTATTATAACGAATAATAGAACTGACATTTCAGGATAGAGGTGATAACTGTTAAGAATATTGTACTGGTTAATAAGGAGACATTGTACAACAAGACGTATACGCCATCTTGTGGGGAAAAGTTCAATTATTTGATAAAATATCGATATATTAGTATATGACTAGAAAGTTAAGACACGGGCCCATAGAGGGTTAAAATGAAGCGATCCATGGAAAGTACAAATACTTTCCTTGAACACGAAGCATTTGCCATGCGACGAAGAACATTGAGTTCAGCCTAATTATCGCTTACTTTTACGTAGAAAAAAGAAACAGTCCGGCTACTGGCGGCGGCACGATTTCCGGCGCAGGCTGTTTAATCGAAGAGAATAATTTAAAGCTACAGATCTAACATAAAGGACAATGAACAAGTAGGTAGATTACGCCGATACGTGTATGTACCTATAATATAAAACGTAAGACGAGAATACGCACTTTTGTAACAGTAGTTTTGCGAAATAAAAACGGAGAAAAAGAAAAAGCGATGAACGATAGTGAATGGTGTGTGTGTATATATATATAATATATGATATATAATATATGATATATAATATATGATATATATATATAGATCGCGTATTAGGTATATAATATAGATATAAAGAACAAAAAAAAAAAGAATTGACGCTTGATACACCATAGTTTTCACCGACATATCCTGGTTAAACACATCCTCTTTACGTACATACTGCATACCTAGTTATTACTACGATACCACCACATGATTGCTACACGAGAGTATAGGGTATTTTATGAATAAAATTGACGATAATATAAATATTATTATTATTATTATTATTATTGTTATTGATATCATTAGTGATTATCACATTTATTATTATTACTGTTTATTACGAGTCTTGATTATGTCATGTAACTGCGATTATGATTATCGAGAATATAGGTACGTATGATAAAAACGTAACGATGGTACAACTAAGGCAAGTATGTACTGTACATAGCTGTCACTTATCCTCTGTCCCACCATGCAACTATGAAAATATACGAATAAAATCTATATATGTGTATATAGATATATACACATATAATAATATATAATATACACATATATAAATATACGAAGCCATTGTATTACAAATTACATTAATCTCATTGTTGTATTAATGATTATTTTAAAATGCTATTGTCTTTATTATTATTATTATTATTATTATTATTATTATTATTATTATTATTAT